ACCGGCTTTGCGGGCATTACGGATTCACTTCTCGATATTTTGGTACGATTCAGATATAATAAATAGAGGTAAAAAGCAGATAGAAATAAAGAATGTGTGTTTGAGACGAGAATGTATGTTGAGCGGTGGAGGACCAACACCGAAGGTGTGGGTCCGACTATAAGGACGGCTATATACAATTGTCTAAATATAGAGAGAAAAATAACATACAATTAGTGCATTTGTGTGTCAAAAATAGTTGAACATGACAGGGGAAATATTAGACTACATTTCAATCTTTAGTTTTATCTCGTTATCTCCCTCTGCTATCATTTATACTTCCTAATACCATATGTTTAGTGAAATGCCAGGTAAAATAATTTGGTGGATCAGACATTACTCTCCTGCTTTAATACTTACTAGGTAAGTGATTTTACCAATAAGATATATCTATGCTCTGTTAGCTTATCCCGAAAAAAAAAGCCTGCTGTGCTTTCCTCATGCACTTCAATCTTCATCATTTGAGCTAGAAGATGGGACGAAGTTTGCGATCCTATTAGTAGTTACGGCTCTATGCGGATTTTTGTTCTCTGTCATTCCAATCCCTATTGAGAGACCAGGAGTTTACCGAGTAAGGAAAATACTGAGGTATGTAATAGAGATATTAACTCTACCTGACAAGCTCACTAAAAGAAATTGCATAGACGATCTTGTAAAGCTACAACAGTAGGTCTCATGAATATCATGATTACTATTCTCTTAGATGATACCAAAAGAGGGTTATTAATACTCATGGCTGGCTTCATTATATTTATTATGATTCTGCAATATTATATTCTCTTGGTTCAAATTAATCTTTGCATCGATTATATACAGCAAAATGAACCAGAGCAAGGTGATACAGGAATTTGCCCAGCGTTCCACATACCATAGTATACAAGTTATGCTTATGGAATATGGTACCTAGATAGTCAATTAGCTATAGTTTGCTGATGAATTAATAGGTCTTGGAAATAAATCATTAGTTAGCTCAAATAATAATATGTTGAAAATAATAGCTTTGTAATGCGCTCTAGAAGATGAATTGCTGGTAGTGAATTATCTCCACCATGGCTGTCTAGAAACAATTCATTTAGGCGACACCTGGTATCGAAAAGCGTACTCATAATTACATTTCTATATAGTGAAAATGGGGTTCTGCTTGGGTCTGACTATAGGAGACGGCTAGAGCTGGAAATACATTGGCTGATCAGTAGTTGTCGTACCCTACTCTACACCCCCTACGCTGCTTCTTCTCTACCGCCTTGCCTATTCATACACCTGCCTACTCGATACACCAGTATATACGCGATATATCGATATGTCTGTTCTAGATATCTACCCCTGAGTCTATCGGTATACCAAATACTACTGTGGTACTAAGAGCGGAAAACCTGCAGTGTCCCTATCAATACCCAGGTGGCAACAGCGAAATTTTGGGGAGCCTACAGTAGCTGTGTGCCCACCCATGATCCCCCGCTGTTAGTAATAAGGATATGGCGCGGCAACGACATCTCAATGTACCTAGGTAGAGTATGGGGATTTTTTATTGGGTATAAACAAAGAGCAAGATTCTAGAATCATGTATACCAAAATAAGATAAGCCGCCTACCATTGCTTCGCTTAGGTCCACGGGTGGCTATAGAAAACGCAGTAGTGGATAAAATACAGCCTTGGGAGCCTTACTTCCTCGCTACAGTATTTACGTGTTGGGGTTGGTGTTTTGCCAGCAGTTAGTGCGGTCGAAGACAACCTCCCACCGATCTGAAAATGTTTCGAAATTTTGAAGCCGTCATCTTCGTAACAGCCAAGACAAAGGACTCCGAATTTTTCGCAGAGCTCAAGTGCTGTCACGCCCTTTTGGATGCTGGGTGAATACGACAAGGATCACACGAAAGTGCTTAAGTGAAAACTGCACCCAGCAGACCCCAAACCCCACCTCCCCCGCGCGAAACTGTTGCATCAATTCTGCGGGTCACATGTCTTCTTTGTCGTCCTAGGTTCGCCCGTCACAGAGCCAAAGGCACACTTCTGATGCTTTAATGGAATGCCCACCGCATACGCCGCACCAAACCCCACGGCGCCAGTTATTAGATCATTGTGGGAGACTCGAATTTGAATCGCCCCCTGTGGTCGAAGCGAGGCAGGCAAGCACCCACAACAATGATGCAGAGAAAATAATCACGGTTATGTCCATTTTTACACTTGAGCTGTTGATGAAGCGGGGCATGGTCATTTTTGACGGTCGGGCCTTTGGGAAAGACATAAAGTAGACTGTTGGCTTCACCTCGGTGTCCACCGCGCTCGCTCTTTCATGCAGCGACAGTGGTTTCATGCCGCAGAACAAGTACTGGTGTTGATAGAGGTCAACCTTAGATGCCCTCCCTTCCTCCGCCACCACGAGATACGCATGTAGGAAGAGGCTGATTGGGAGGCTTGATCTAGACGGCTAGATGATCTCTGCCGAACATGTCCAGGTATCCTCGAAATGATAGCAGAAACCGAAGCAGGAGTTGAACGCATCGTTTACTCGTTCAACCAAGCCGCCGAAGAAGCAGTGCGAAAAAGAAGCTCTATCAACGGTCCTTCCCCTCGTACTCTCCTCTTGGTGAACCCTTTCCCCACCTAGTGGGTCGTACTAGGCAGTGAGTATGGATGACAAAGACGATTCCAAAACAAGATAAATATAAGAGATATAAGCAATATAAGCAATATAAGAAAAAAATGCTACCAGTTTAGTCGTGAGAGCAAGAAGGTGGCATGGTGGTCGTGGCGAGAAAATGCCGAAGCAGCCACCAGCAATATCAAAGACTTCTGGCGCCTAGTGAAGGCGGTTCGTAAACAGAAACCTCTGCCTACATACCTTCATATGATATTAATATGATATGCTGTTCTTACCAGCAAGTTAGCTTTTATAGAAGGAAACTTAATAGGTCCCTTCATATAAAAACTTGATATCTAATTATAAACTAGATTTTTTTTCTACTGGAAGCTTCGATCTGGCGACAAAATCTTTGAGAAATCTCGTTATGCTCTAGCAACGATTCTACTTACTTTTCAAAAAGGCATAAACAAGCAAACTGGGATAAGATATATGAATAACAATAGTTATGGAACACGATAGTAGCGGTATCGGTGGCTTCCAGTATACATTGAAATGTAGATGCAAGACAAGCCGCCATCCAAGGTCTAAGGGAGAATTTTGAAAATCAAGTGTATACACAAGTGGTAGTCTTAATTCCTCGCTCACCCGGAGTCCTTCAGAGTAGGAAAGAAAGCTACGTTTCAACCTGACTAATATGACCAAAACATTGAAGCTTACCATCAGGGGTGATCGAGATTGTTTTCTCTGAAAGTTATCAACATTGAACAAGTCTATCTTGGAATGCATTCTGCTTACCTAAATCTACCGGTGGGTTGGTTTTCTTGCGTGTGGCACTATTTGCCCTCCTCACACAGGAACAATTTTCAAGGATATGTCCATCTCTTAATTCGCACCCTCGGCAGCTTTGAAAACCCCCGCCCCTGGTAATTATCAATTCCCATCACTTTAAGGGTCTAGGCTTTTTTCTTGGAAGGAATTATACATAGTACGTACCCCGGTGCGGCATTGAGCTGGCCGTCATCGTTTCTATAGCATTTGTTCAGATCAATATTCCTGTTGCTTTCAGTCCCGTGACAATCCTGTGCACACACGCCAACTAGAATGTGACCCTTCTCAAATGTCATTGAGTGACAGCCGTCTGTCGTGAATCTGTCACTAGATACGAAAAAGGGTAAGATGGAAACCACAAGAAAATAAGTTAAAAATTTCATCATGTAAATGCGTTAGATGGTGAGTTGTAGTTAAGGAAGATCACACGATAAACTTATACTTCCCGATAGAGGCTCCAGGGCCATTTTCGATACCAATTCCATTCCAGTTTAGTGATTCAAAAAGACTGGCTATTGTTAGAATGCTTTGCTGTTTATTACCTCACCGCTCCTGATGCGGAAGAATAGTCAAAGAGAGGGACTATTTGTAGCCTTGAGTTGGCCCACACCGGTCGCTGCACCGTAGGTCCGAATTTGGGGGAAGGCTAGTAATGCAATGCGTTTTTTATGTCTTTATATGGCACGAGTTCCTACTGGCAGAAATCGTGCATAATGGAGCTTTTCATGTTCAAATTTCATTTTAGAAAATTTACAAGGCAAACACGAACAGAATATTATCAGGAGACTTTCATGTTTCATATATTCTGGCTAGGCAGCTTCAATTTCCGAAATGGACCCGCACTATATCATTACCTGTTTTGCCGAACCCGTGGGACAAAAAGTGGCGTCTTAACATGTATTTAGACTCTTTCAGCGCGGGCTTGTGGCTGTTGACAACTGGCAAAGATATCCAGATTGGAGATGGAACGAAATATATCAGTAATGCAACTCTCTCTCTCTCTCTCTCTTTTCAACCTGCTCTCACCTACCGCGCTACCTGGAATCGATATCTCTGTTATAACAACTTTGATATATAGTGATTGAAATCATCGCAAGGGCTTTAGGCATGGTAGTTTTGCAATGTCTCTCTAAATTTATATAAGGCTATATGTTCAAAAATAGATTTTTCAAAAGAGAATTAGTCCAAATATAGAGTAGGTAGTTAGAATACTGATTATATCAGATTCTGGGGTGCCAATAGCAAAATTTTGGAGCGCCCCTAAGAACACTTAGGGACGTGCCGAGCTACGGTAAATATGTATGTAAACAGTGTCTTTTAAACCTCCGGGAAGCTTTGAATCCTATGAGTAAAGTTTCATCAATAATAATGCTACCAGACCTCCCACGAACAAGAAGCTTCGATGTCAAGATGGTAAATTTTCTAGCTACTCTATAATACCACCGACAGTTACCAAGTTTCTGATTTAGATAACCTTGTCTTTCTTGCCTTCCTCGTTTATTGAGGCGATACGTTTTGAATGAAACTTGCAAACGGGGTGATCCGCTTCTCAAATGGTGACATGGAGATCCAAATTCAACGACTCATCCTGGCTAACTGACAGTCTTAACATGTTTTTTTTTCAAAGCCTCATGCGCAGACCGCCAAGCTAACGAAAACTCTTCACTATATCTTGGCTCCAATAGTTACCTACAGTCCTAGAGAACATATTAACAGTATTGGTGCCAGCAACAACAACTCGATCCCCGAGACTTGGTAATCCCTCAGTCCCAACAACCGTATTTTCCAGCGGAAGAATCCTATATGGGTATGTCCGCTTGGCCAACACTTGTTGCAAATCCCACATCACGAGGAAACTTCCTGTGGAGCTACTTATGTACACTCCTTCCGTGTCGCTAATAAAGCGAGCGTGGGTAAATTTCATTAGTTCGAGTCCGAAGCGTTTAATGTCATTCTCTTTTAATCTGAGCCTCAACGGCTGGGGTTTGTACTTGTGCGGAAAACGTTGCCGAAAACCATTAATCCCTGCATTTCCCATTTCATTTGGTTGAGAGTCGACGAGAAGAAGGCATGAGGAGCATGTGGCAAGCACCCAACGACCGTCATTTGATACATCGATACCACGGATCTTCTCATCGAGCTTTGGGATATGGGTTTTCGCAATGACACCGATGCGGTCGAATAGTCGAATGTCACCCGATGTCGACCCTACGGCAAGATACCCTTGAGGAGTTGAAGCCAAGGATGAAAACTTTTTGGGATGTCGATAGGACTTCTTGCTCACAATCTTTCCATGAGGTTCCCGAGGATCGATTCGATACAGGGTGTTTTGAGACGCGCCGATTAAAGTTCGATGATCATATAGCTGTGCGTACTTCTTTTATGGATAAGGAAAATATCAGCAAGTGTTCATGTATACGGTATCTAGTTGTCAAGTGAGCAAAAAGGCTTTCCTCGCCTTACCGTTTCAGGGGCAAAGGTCTCTACCAAATTTTCGGGGCCAAAATACCAAGTTTCGTCAATTTTCCCAATCTCCAGGTTCATCTGATGTAAGAGGTTGGGTTCATTTGCTTCCTGGAGTATCATAAAGCGTTCACACCTATACAACATGATTTTCGCAGGCTTGATATATTTCCCGGTTAAGGCCTGTATTCGTGAAACGTTGGTCTCAAATTCTAGTTGTCCTTCCTCAGTCAGGTTTCTGAATACACCTAACGAGGACCCCCGGATGACAAAGGTGCTGTCCAACCCAACAGCAACACCCGAATTTGTGACATTATCCTTTTTTTTCGAAGAATGCTCCTTGTTGCATTGTCTTTTCCACTGATAACTGTCATTTCCGCTATCTATCTCATCTTCGGTATCCGAGCTCTCATCTGTTTCCCCCGTGTCCCCCGTATCTTCCGCGTTCCCAGTTCCCCCTATTTTAGTGCCGAGGGGTTTTTTCTCGGGCTTGCTAACCTTAATCAGGCGTACTTCATGTTGCTGCTGCCAGACTGCAGTTGATAACTTCTTCATAAACTGGCTGCCGCCATTTTTATCATCGAAACTGAATTTCCATGACTTGGGGTCTTCGTCAGGGCGGCAAGTAGCGAAACTAAAAGCACATTCACCAGCAAGTTGGGTGTAGTTCAAATCTCCCCCAATGCGAATATTGATGAGTTCACTCCCATTTTCAAGAGTAATCCATAGCCAGTACGTCCATGAGCCAGCGGAATAGAGAGTGATTTCCACATTCCTACTGCTTATAGCGGTAAAGCTTTTGGAAGCGGGATCAAACTGATAAAGGCTCCCTTCTGCCTGTACCTGGATCCCATCCTCCTCGGGCTCCTCTTTCAACAAGGGTGCCATGTCTGACTGCTTTTGAGACGAGGAGGGTTTTTCCTTTTTTGGTATGATGGGCGACTTGGATCGGGGTCGATCTACTTTATCGAAGAATTCTCGGAAGTTGGATGTTTCCAGGCACTTTGTAATTACTGTCACAAACCTTTCCATTGATTCAGAAGAGGGCTCAAAGTAAAATTTCCATTCCACATGTGGCTTCTCTTCGATATCATGCCATATCAGGACTCCCCACTTTGGATGGGTCTCCCAGTGTATGTCCATCGCCTTATCTATCATAAACACATATTGGTCACTGTCTTTGCATTGGGCCTTTAGTCTAAAACTCATATGACCATCTCGAATAATGGAAAGTGATGTATCATTGTGAAGAACGGGCCTATCCTGAGAATTTTCAGAAAACGGGATGAATGAGTAAAGTGATCCTCGCGGAATCTCAGAAACGATATCATCCCGTGGTTCTTTCCAAAACAGCTTCTTCACTAGACAAGAATTGGCTCAAGTATCAGTTATACTCTTGTGGGAATCCCTAGACACTACAAAGTAGACAACTCACCAGAAGTGAAAAGGTAATTCAACATAATTACTTTTCTATCTGGTCCTAATGACAATAATCGTTTGGAACGAATCTCTTGCCCTGCTCTGCGGGCACTAAAATTGTCAGACTGCCAGTATATATGTTTCGGCAATTCGAATTTCGGGTATTTTTAGAATAGAATATATTCCAGTCAACCTCGGATCCAAATAGAAGCCAATCATTTTTTTATAAAAAAAAATAAAAACAGGAAGAAGAACCCTTACGACAAGAAATAGCCGTCCAGTGTACGCTACCCGTCCAAAAGTCTGCCCCGCTCACAATATCCTCGCAAACTCGACAATTTAATTGTAAATATCTCAATAGATTTATTGGTGTTATGAATATATAATATTTTGATGCTAGATTTTTTTTCTTCAGGAGTTGTACGTTGTTGAAGGTATGCAAAGTTGAAAAGAAAATTTTTTATTTGAGAACGCTAACAAAACTTTCTAAAAACTTCGTCTTATTTTAGACCTTCTGTTTTAAACACGCGTAATTTTATAAATATAGATCTAATGGATATAATAATTAAACAATCCTCTTCCAGAAAATAAATTTATTATATAATTCGATTTAATTTTTGAGACATAAAGTTGGTCGGTTGCATTTTAGCGATCTTGATTAAAAGAGAGTTATATAAATATAGATTTAAGAAGATATGATCCATTTTCATTGAGATGTTCGAGTTTAAAACTTGATTAAATTCCTTTTCACATACCCCCCCAATCATTTTACACGAATGAGAGATATCTATTGAGTTTGTAAGAAGAAAAAATGGCAAATCTCCCCACTTAAACAAGCACAGGTTTTCACTAAAAGGGGACATCTATGTATATAGTATGGATATGAAGAATGATTTGAAAACATTTTTTCCAGTATTCTTGATCTATTAGTTTTCTGAGGTTCGCTTCCATCAAGGGGGAAATGTCACGATTGATGAATAGAGGCGTAAGAGATTCGTCCAGCTGAATACATGTCACTGCTAGGGAATGATTTGTATTTACATAACAGCCAATGGTTCGTCTCTTCGTTGTGAAATTTACGTACTGACCATCGAGCTTTCTGCCACTAGTGATATTTTATCCACACGGCGGTTACTGCTGCACTTTTGTCAAGCCATAGTGAATTTGTAGTCTCCGAGTCTTGGCCTGACCGGGTAGGTATTTAAAGCCTTCGTGTCCTGCCAGGTCAAGAATATCCGCAGGATCCTAACCACAATTTATTCAAAAAGAAAACCCGCATAACCTAAGAGTTCATTCAACTGGGATCTTTGCCTCTATAAGAGGTGTCTTGCGTTGATCAATATGCGTGCCACATTCCTGTTTAGTGGTTCCATGCTTTTACAATTGCTTCAAGCGGTGAATAGGAGAGTTTTACCAGGCGGCTGTGCACAGAGTGCAGCTCTTGTGTCGAACGAGGGAGCCACCCCGGTTGTCGATGCCATGATCTCGCTGCAGGAAAGGGCTGTTACAACAATCACAAGGACATCGACAACTATTGATACGACGGACTGTTCTTCCACCGAAACCACACTACAGACGTCGTCTCTCCCACGCACTACTGCCAAGGAAATGGATTCGGATTCTTTACCTCTGACGACCCTTCCAACGGCTACTTCGACTACGGCAAATGTAAGAAGTTCCAAATCCGAAGAGTCCTCGAGCCAGCGCTCCGCATCTACCACGGAGATTCACCTTATAACTGCCACCGAGGAATCAAGCACGGTGACCACGTGGGAATACAGCACCATAGTCGATACTGTGACTGCGAGCGGTTCAATCACCACAGTAAAACCAGCCATATCGAAGAGTGTCTTGACAGAGTTAATGGCGAAAACGATTACACAATCAGTGGTTGAAACGCAGCCTGTTCAATATCTGACCGAGTGGCTCACCGTGACTCAGCCAGGGGATGCTACCACTATTATCCCCAACGCCAACACTGAAGTACCGAAGTCAGGGGACTCGGTCACCGTCAGGCCCTCAAATTGCGCTAATAATACAGAATTCGATAGCGTTGATGCTTGCGGGGGCAACAGTCATACGAGCTTAAGATCACAAACAGGGCCTAGTCCCTATCAAGAGCCAACCTCCTCGAGTAGGGCCTTCCACCTTATACGATACAGAGCGGAACAGAACAGATTTCTGAGATATTCTATCTAGGCTCAATATCGATCTGTCCGAGCCGGATTATAAACCCCACTTATACACCTGCCACGGCCCTCCCGACAGATTACACCTGGGGATGTCCACCTCGTCATCTTTGCCATCCTTCACATAGCGCTGAAGATAATGGATGCAATTTCGAAGCGGGACCACCTGCTGATACGTACTACTGCGCGCCGCATGAGTGTATTCCTAGCCCAAAGCTTCTCCCCCCGCAGCACTGGGGCCAGCCTGTGTGGTCCCAACAAGTTGGGCGATTCAATACATCCTGGGGGTATTTCAACCTCAGCCCCCATGAATTTGGCCTAAACTACAGTGTCTTCAACGACACGGACCAGAATACCTCGCCTATAAACTATAGGCGGGACTGGACCATGCAGATTCCTGGGAAATGCTACGATGAGTGTAATGACGCTATGCTGGAAGCGGAAGCTAGAGGGAAAATGGCTAGCCTCTGTGATGACGACTCGGCTTTTATGGTCTTACTCCGCGCATGTCGAGCCTGCATTAAAACGGCGCACGTGTCTCATGTTCCGGCTGAGACGCTTCCAGAATTTCAGCAATTTGTCTTCTATTGTGAGCAGTCGCATGATCACTCCTCATCTTCATCGTCCCACGATTCAACACAAACACAACGGCCCTCTACAGCCCAGTCGTTTATCGCTATATCTCAACCATTCGACACCTCTACTGGAACACGGATTACGAGGACTCACGAATACATTACGCCATCCTTAACTGGTGCGCTTGGTTCAGCCAGTACACACGCTCCCACGAAGACACCCAGTCGTAGCCTGACCTATGCGAACGCCGGCCCCGTCAATCTTTCATCCAGACTATGGACGCTGTCCCTGGTTCTTGTTGTGGGGATTTGATGTTTTACATTTTTTGCAATATGCATAACGACTCGGTGTTTGGCGAAGCCAAGTTATACATTTGTATATAACTCGCGTGTCTCTCCATTAAATTCATCTCTGAGTTCCATGATTCTTTTTATTGGAATCTATTTTTCTCTTCCATGATACATCTTTCAGAATCAGACCTAAAACATCTTCGGGTGCGCAACTGCTACCGTCCCATGCTACAGGCCATCATGGAGACCATCTCTAGCGCTAACGTCGACCACACCAACGCGAAGCTGTGCGAGAAAGCAAACATTCTGCGACAGTCCTTGTCTCTGGACCAAGACTCTGACTGTAATCCACTCTTTTTTGATCGTTATCAGGGTGGGCTAGATAGCTTGACGGATTCTGAGTAGGATAGAAATGAGTCAACCTGGAAGTACAAGCCCACTTGCGAAAACCATTTGAATGTACAACGTCTTAATAACTTCATGAAATGATATTTTGACAACCATAAAACCGTGGGGGCTCCTGGGAGTCTAGAGTGGGTAGTCTCATTTCTAGCAGTTTGAGGGGACCTTAGGAGGCTTACGTTGGGCCAGGATGATGGGACTCAACTTGGAGATCTTTGAGACGGGTGGCTTTTTCTGGAAAGTGACTAATACCGCCCTCGCCTTAACGAATCCCGACTCGTGGCCCGTTCGGCTTCCGGCCTGAATCCTCCCTTACCCCCCATGTTAAGTGCATGATCGAGAACGATTTTATGGGCGGCAATCGTCTACGGAGAGGCGACATCACAGCTATTGTGGCAGAACTCGACCCGTAACACCTTTCCACCACTTTCTGCGGCTTTGTGTTAAAGGTGTAAACACTTAAATTGGACTTTTCTACCATTTTATATGATTGCGCAGATCTTGCGAGATAACTTGAATCTGCTGCCTGGGTTTCCTGGTGTCATTATATAACTAACTAACTAGAATAGGCTCATCGTAGAGGAGCGCTCTTCAGGGTTATCCAGTACAAGTATGTTATTGCCTACTCGTGACTGGCACCCAAGTAAATGGCAGGAAGAGTTGATCTGAAAGCTAGGTTATATTTCATGTACCATATATAAACGGAATCCAAAAATAGCGGGCTAAGAAATTGGTGGCCAGAGCAATAAGGCACGTAACAATGGCCTTCCGAGGCCAAGTTACTATGGCCATCTTTGGCTTCAGCGAGCAACAGGTTGAAAAAATTCCCTGAAACGGAGGAATGAAGTGAAAAGGGTTACAAACCGCCAGTCGCGCGAGGCTGAGTTTGACGCTGAGTTTGACGCTGGGTTGCAACTACCCAAAATTCGGTCTGGTATTTGGATCCTCACGTGTTCCATGCCCTTACACGTTTGGTTTTCTATCCGGCCCACAGCAGGCTGGGTTGATCCACCGCCTCATAATTTTGGCAAACCGGATATTGTAATTATTGTATTGCTAGCAATGAGTGGTTATAAAACGTAATACTACAAGGAGCCACGTAGAACCATTCTGTACATTTGGCGATCTGGTCAGATCTGGCCAAATCGCCAGCTTCACCGTCTAGCTTCCCTCTTTCCCCCCATGCTTCTCATATTCTTATTTTCGCTCGCCAGTCGTGGTTAAGAAGGCTGTGCTTACCTTGTAGAAGATCAGGGCCAGGGATAGATGAGAATTCTTCCTCCTAGCGAGTTGACCTCTACGGGGCCCATCTGACTATGGATCTCCCACTGCTCCACTGACCCTCAAATGATTCACAGGGCCGTCCGCCCTATGTCCTACCGCACACCTTTGTGCAGCTAATCATTGTGCGACATGGTAGATTTCTTTCACTAGTTTTTGAAGCCAACACATCTTCCCCGCCATCAGTTTCGACGACACAATCCGACCCATTTCCACCACCAGATTCCACTTTCTTCGGTTACGAGGTTTCTCAGATTTGGCTATTCTACAGCGTGAACCATAGGACCATCACACTCCAGGTCTACACCGCTCCTTGGGGTAGTCGCTAGCAAGATACACTGCTCGCTGGAGTTGAAATTGCTTTGACCACATTACATTCTCTCGATACTTTATATCAGCTTTGAATATCCAGGGTTCGTTGAGCAATGGCATCACGTACTAATTTCCACCAATTCCCTAGGTAGGTACGCCCCTTTACTTTGCACTGTCTTTTGCTGATATTTATGAAGTATATTCAAGGATTGCCCGGTCTAAGTCGTTGTTGGCCCTCATAAAATTGTTTACTACGTTCATCCTGGAGTCATTTCGTCGTGTGGTTCACCGGCATTGAAAGCTCGTGTCAGCGACCAGTGGATTAAGAATGGTACTAGTGGGGCTATTGATTGGACGGAATTCGATGAGGAAACCGTTGAATGCGCGTTGAGCTATCTTTACATTGAGGATTACGATGTACGCGGTCGGACATTCTTTGGTGAGCAAATTGAAGAAAGAAATGACGATGATCAGAATGGTGCATTCCCTAGTCCCGCTTTTAATCATTTTCGCTGTTAACAAATATACATTTCAGCGCAACAAGCCCTTCTCTCTACTAAAGCGGGGTCATCGGTACCTGACTCCAACTTAGAAGGGCTTTCGGAACGACCGTTAACACCTTTGAGTCGGTGTTTGCAAGTCGGTTTGCCAGCAGAGACTATGCAAACAGCCGCAGCAGGGTTCATGAAGGAGCCCAGGGCTTGTGATGAGGGCCTTAGTGACATCGCTCTTATACAAGCCAAGGTTTATTGCTTTGCGTACCAGTTCTTGTTCTCCAGACTCGAGGATCTGGCTTTAGAGCGCCTGACGCAGCTTCTTCTCAAGTGCGATACACCAACGGATCCATCCTCATTGGTCAATGCTCACTTGTAATTCTCGCATCTTATTACATTTAACTTCTTGTCCTTGCCTTTCCCTTTCATGGTTTCAGGGCATCTGCGTGCGGAGCGCGTGTCACCAGTTTCTTGCCATAGACTTGGGAGTCCTAGGGCATTAGGAGCTGCACGTGATCTCAGAAGAGGTATCAGCGCAGGTAGGGATGTTCAGCCAATCGTATTCAATGCACATCATGCAGAGGACGTTTTAACCACCCTATTTTCTTTCTTCTCGAGTCCACTAGGGTACGGGGGAATTAATTGCTTTTCTGCACCCGCCCTTAACTCTTTTCTCCCTCGTCTGGTTGACCTTTTCGTTTATTATCTTCGACAATTTTGTGCCTCCCCTACCAACAATATTTTGCACGTTGCCTTTCCCTAGTTGCTTAACTGTTTTTATGGCATTGGCAGTACGCAGCCCCTAGCTAATGTGTACTGCTCAGTTGAATATATACACTAAAGCTTTCAGCAGCGCGAACCTACGCTACCTTAGTTGATTTTTACCGATCAAAGAGGAATTAACATGATTTCGGCCAATTCACATCTGTTTTAGTCCGAACTTTTTCAAAATGTTGTATGCCAGCTAGCAGTGTCTAGTTTGGCTGAATGGCTTCTTGGGCACTGCCTCAAGGAATGCCAAATCATAAGGATTTGTCCAAAATTCATTCCCGTATTGGAAAACCCATGAAAACATGGAATACAGAACCTTACTGCCTTCCTTGGTAAGGATGGTATTCCAGCTGGGCCACTCAAAATAGAAAGTCAATTTCTTTCTGGATCGCCAAAATTGGCATCGTTTCAATAATGCAAGTCGGACGTGATCGATCGCAAAGAACGCATTCGCAAACAGATTACGGTCCTTTATTAATGTACTAATAAAATGGGTTCTTTAGCCGCCCACTAGGCGCAATTTAAAAACATGTGAAAATAGTCACGGACGTGACGGTTCCCTTGATTTAAATACAGCCTTCTTCCAACTACTGAAGGATAACAATTCTTGCCTCTCAATTCCCTATTGACAGATATTTACAAGTAGAAATTACATTCTTCGACCCTTTTCTACCAACATGTCGGATATCCAGCAATGCCAGGACCTTACCGCTCAACTTGGGGGTGAATATAAGAATGAGGATAGAACAACATTCGTCGACACCACGCCCGAAAAAATCCTTCAAACTTCAACGATGGCGCTTTGGGCACAGTCTACTTCTGGCAAAAAACAGGTCAACCTGGGCTTGCCTTCTCTGAAAAGCTGGCTGAAAAATCTCGCTGCGAATGGTTCTGGTCGGGCTGAGACATACCAAGGTGTCATATTTAAATTCGTCAATCGTAAGTTCTTCATTCATTAGAGGTAATATGACTAAAACTCTGCAGAAGAGCCTAACAGCCGAACGACTACTCCCTTGTCAAGCCTGGATTAAATGGATAAGCAATCTTGATTAGCGCCAGGTCTTGGGTTATCGTCGGATTGAAGTGCGTCAGCTGCAAAATGCATACAGTACTATGATCTCGATATCTATTTTCTACGGGCTACTACCTTGCTCCGGGTGTGATCTTATTATCCCTCTGGGGTCTCTTGCCTTTTACTGTACGTGAATACGGGGGCGACATTTACATTAGGCACTCTGTCCCATAAAACATGTTATTGTGCAATCAATCCAAACAATTTTATGGTAGTGGTGTCACGGAGGCCCCAGTCACACAGAACAACTAAGTATCGACTGTGTATCTGGGTAGCAACGACAAGAATAATCAACATAAGGAGAAGAGGAAGCCACACATCAAGAGTCTGTTCAATCATTGCCTCCCAGCTCAAACTCCTCAAATAGTGGGTTAGAGAGATGGCTAAGTTTTTCAGTGGTGCCGAGTAGCCTCGAGTCCTGTACTAATTAAAAAAAAATATTGGCAGCGTTGAACTATTTCGCCCTTTCAGGTCTACGCGGATTCTCTGGTTGTGTATAGTGGATAGGGGTCAGCACGAGTGCGACTGCCAATGAAAACGGTGTATCATCCATGCCTAATGTTGGCATTAGCATCAAATAGCCTGAAAGACTTCAAAGGCAGCGCTGCTATTACCCTATAGATGTCTAGTTGGACAGGCGGGTGGCCTGCATCTGAGCACAATGCCAATAGAATCCCTAAATGCGTCATATTCGATATTATATATTAGCCAGTCAAAGAGGTAGGTACATGTATATGACTTCTGTCAATTAACTCATTACAGGTTCTGGGGTGCGAGAAGCTCATTTCCTGTGAGCCCCTTCTTCTCCAAAATAGTAGCCCGATCATTCAAAAACACTTGGTATGGTGCTTTCGCGACAGTTTTCTCCTCATTTTCCCATACTTGATAGCCCACATCCTCCCAAACTTGGAGTTGACGAGTAAAATTAGCACTCGGCTTGACTTTCTGCTTTGATTGAACAAATGCTAATATTTCATTTCGCTTAAGACAGTATTTGCGCATGAGATAGGCAACAATGATCGTTGGCGAGCGTGATATCCCAAGATCACAGTGGATTAATATGGCCTCCGAAGGTGAATTGCGCGGCTCATTCGATTCGTGCCTATATTCGACGGGTAAGGAGGATGATGAGAAAAGGGCAGGCGATGCCATCTGGTCGATGAAGTCGCAGATGTCACTCATGTCGGCCAAAAGGTCCTGCGTTGATGAATCCGCACACTGAACCCATTTGTGACGATGCTCTGGAACACCTGCCTCCCTTGTAGTGGTATTCCACCACACCCACCGGGCATCAGTGAGGGAGACTATAGCATTGATGCGATTCTCTCGAAGCATATCTCGTTTGAATGATGCCTTGACATTCCCAAGGAAGAGACCAGGGACAATCTGTCTCATCCGGGCCGTGAATGCCATCGCCCATTTCCTGTTCCTATCCTCCTCCATGTTCCCTCCTGCTTTTTCTTCTCCCATTTCTCTTAGTTGGGCTCTTTTTCTTCTCAAATGTTGAAATCGAAAGATGAAAATAGTTGCTGTAGGTCGCTGGTGGATTCACGAGTCGGATCGGCACGGGTTACAGCCAGGGGCCCCAAAAAATGCCAAGAGGGGTCCAACAGTCGGGAGAATATTACGCCGAAATTTTTGGACCTCCCCAGCTCACTGAGTCGACCGGGGGCCAAAAATTTCGGCGTAATATTCTCCCGACTGTTGGACCCCTCTTGGCATTTTTTGGGGCCCCTGGCTGTAACCCGACACGGATTCGGGCATCCCAGCTGAGGGGCCCCAAAAAATACTGAGCGGGCCCCAAAAATCGGTGGAATATTACGCCGACTTTTGGGGCCCCCTCAGCTGGGTGCCCCAAGATGCGAAACTAATAGGAAATGCACGGACCCCAATGGAGAAGGTGTGGTTAATAAATCATACATCTAGCCACTCAAATGGTCAACATGTTGTTTTTGCCCAGCCGAGATGATAATTAACCAATATTTTTCCCAAATTAAATATTATGGTTTCCCGGTCGCGAAGGAATAGTGCAAAAAGAAATGCTGGTTTTTACAATACAGTCTTACAGCAACCTCTCTATTACTAGCATAAATACAGATGATTCTGAACGGTTAACCAATCGGCGATGTAGTGATGATGAATTGGCAAACCGGACGAGACGGCTCCTTCTGTTATGGAGTAGTACGGGGAACCTCAAAACCGCTAGACCAAAAAGGCTCAAAATGATAAACTCTGTTGATTATGGTTCCCCACCGCCTCTATATAGTGTGTTCCGTAACACCTTCTACGGACTGGAGAATCTGGGGGGTAGGTAGGACTAGGGACTATGAAAATCTCCAGCAGAGAAGTGTTGAGACTGATGTTCTGCCAGCAGTTATCCACCGCCCCCTGACCGCCCGCTGTAGTTCTGCAGAGAAGTGTAGGTATGTAGCAGATAGCTTCTCTTCTCTCCTACAGACAGATAATTTAATTCTCTCTTCTGCGCTCTTTCCCCTCAGTAGTTCTGCTTTTTCAGGCTCCCCTAGTGCTCTCTGAGACTCATATTTACCTGCTGGTAGAGGCAGCCAGTATTTCCTCAGTCAGATACACATCGTTCCGAACACATAAGCGGTCTCTTTGCTTTCAATAAATGAATTTCGCGTAATTATGCGCAGTACTCCTTTTAAGAGAAATTAATATTCTCATTGAACACCCACGATCCAATTCTAGATGCGTACTCGGCATTTGCAACTGCTAAAAGCCTCTCCTTGAGGACTCCTTTGTCGCCATCCAGGTTATAGTAAGGATTAAAGAATCTGCAATCAGAAAATTATTTAATAGTAGAGTCTATATATTACTTTATAGATTATATCTAAATTTATAAAACGGTAGTTCTTTAAAGTAGAAAGTCTGAAATCAGGCAAATTTTGTCGAAATTTTTGTTAGTGTTCCTATACAAAAAATAGATTTTCTTAATTTTACCTATCTTTGACGGCGTACAGCCCTTTAAGAAAAAAACCCAGACAAAAAGTATTATATATAAAAGTTAATTGTGTACCAATTATTTAATATTTAAAAATAATTTAAAAATAGTATATCATATAAATTTGTTAAGATATTTATGATTAAAATCACCAAGTTTTGCAGGGAATATAGTGAGTGTCGGCAGACTTTTGGACGGGTAGTATAGTTTAGAACGAGCAAAGTGGGCGTTAATTTGCGGGCGGTGTTTTTTCTTGTCTGGGTATCCATATATTGCTGCCATGCCCCTTTAAGGTGCATTTTTGAATTAAATTGAGTGGTTTGTACAATTTCAGGCTCTAACTATGTCCTTCCTTCAGAAATCTGGCTAAGATATCTTGCCGTTGTTCGACAGATGGTGGATTTCCCTGTCCCAGCCATGCTATTTAACTAGAATATATTTCTCCGCTGTAGTGACAAAGCCCATTCTCTAGCTTCTGGGTTTAGTGAGGGATTTAAATTGGAACTGCTCGTCGCTTCCTATGGAACATACAGTAAACGAATGAATCAGCATAGTGAAATCAATAGTCTTGACTAGACCGCTGGGCAAAAAGATTTAAGGAAAAAAAAAAAAAAAAAAACAACAACAACTAATTCCTTCACTTCCCGCCAGCTTCGTCGACCGAGAAACCATGTACACCCTTGCTTGATTTCGCAAGTTCTCTAACAGAACTCCCCTCGAACCATGTGCAGTGCCCTTCGCTCCTTGTGCGTGTGATAGAGATATAATAATTCAGGCCAAATCTGGCTGGGGGCACTAGAGTGGACATAGCTTTTCTGTGCTATATCGGATATAATGTTGTAGCTGTTTTGACGAATTAGCATAGGAATGTTCTTGAAGGTTTCTCTAAACTTACACCCACCACCGGCAACCCGACCCCCCCCCCCGGACATTTCATATCTATCACGACGAAGCGTATAGATGAGACGTGCGAAGTATAATACATTGATTCCTGCCGCAACTGGAAAGTCCCAAAACTTGATCGCAGATGTAGTTTGGATGTAGGCGTGTTTGGTCCACTCAAGGATCCCTGTCGGATCATCAAACTCGGCCCTCATGTTGATGCGAGTTGACGACACCCCATCAGGATGAAGCAAGTAAATTGACCAATGATTATCGCTGGTGTTTGGACCAGCCGCACCAAGGGTGTGCACCACAACACGGACGTTCGTGACTGACGTGGTGTCTGCCTGAACCTCTTGCGGGGACAATGGATGCGACGGCATTGTAGAAAGATAATTATCGAATGATAAGATACTGACGGTACATTGTCAAGGTAAGTTAGCCTGAGTTGATGGCCTTCTTGGTGAATTTATATCTGTCGGAGGGCTCAGCGACTGCAGGGATCAGAAAATGACGCATCATATCTTCGAACAAAGGTGTCCACGCTATAGTCACTAGTGTAAATCTTACGAACCCTGCAACCACCAACGAACCGAGTGGAGGCGTTCCAAAGGTGAAACTTGATTTCATTGATTGGGCGGCAACGGGTATAGGCAGCATAGCTCCTAGGAATATAGAATGGCATAATGAATCTGGCCGTTAATGAAATAGTTAACCCAGAGAAACTTATCTGGTTAAAGTTCAATAATGGCTTGTGGGTATTGATAGGGGCCCCAAAACGCTTATGTAATAATTTTTTTGATCTATTTTCTAATCACATGATAATTTTCAACCATATCTCTAATCACATGATCCTCTTATCCTAACCACCAAAAACAGATTACCCTATTTGGCAATAGGGCAACTTCGACATGTATGCCCAATTTCGCCGCAATTCGAACACTTTGGTAGGGCCTTCTTTTTTTTGATTGGCTCAAACCCTTCGCTCCTATCTGATATCTGCGTGGATTGCCTTTTTGGGAGAGTAGCAGGCTGAATTCGGGGATTCAGTAGGGGCTGCCAGGCAATATCAGATGAATCTTCGATCCCAATTCGCCAAAATGGATGAATTTCAGCTAATGGGGTTGCTGCTTTTTGCTCAATTATAGCAGCAATTCGATGCTTGCATGGTAACCCATAGTACTCGTCCAATGATTAGTCTATATACCAAGCGGGGCCTCTAGGGTAGCCCTACTAGCATAGATTCGCTGTATATTAAACTAGTAGGGTTATGGTAGAGCAGAAAAAGAGATGAAGCAGAAGATAGAGTATATATAAAGTATATGGTTGCTATAGTGATGAAAGTAGATGAAAAAATATTATATAAGCCAAAATCGATATTACATAAGAAAATGTAGTGCGTACCCCTATCAATACCCGATGTGGTGCCCCGATCAATACCCTGGGCCAGGGTGGCTAGTGTAGTGGGCTAGTGGAATATTGTAAGTCCGGTCTTCCCGGACCCTGTTGGGGTTCAAATGCACCGTGTACTGCGGTGACCTCAACCTGTGCTGACCTTCACCCTCTCACACGAATCCGCACTGGAAATTATATCTCGCCTTCCCCGAGCACTTTTCCCTTGTCATATCTCAGACTGGTTTGATACCCAACATCCGAACTCCCCCTTCTTCTTTCCCTTGTCTTTAATATAGGGTCTGCAAAGTAACCGTGTTTTCTCATGCAACCCCATTACAGCATTATGGCCCTTCCCGAAGACCTCCATCGAGCCTCTGTGATCGCCTGTTGTGCAAATCCATTACCTGATAGTATTATCAGCCAATACGGAAAGCGAATTATCAAAATCTCTGACGATCAAGTCGTCAAATGGGGCCCTGATGTGACGAGAGACGAGGCCGAAAATCAAAGGATAGCGTATGAACTTGTGGACAGCCGCATAGTTCGCATCCCACGTGTGTATGATTTCTTTTCTGATGAGCGGGGTTGGGGCTATATTGTGATGGAGTTTATTGAGGGAAAGGTCATCGATCCACTGGAAGACGTTGGCGCTTTACAGAGGGTTGCGAGCGTGCTTAATTATTTCGCATCGTTGCGGCATAATGTTCCTGGATCGCTCTACGGAAGACCTTGTCGTGGGCTTCTATTTCCTGACACTGAAGATCTCGTCTTCAATAGTCTTGAGGAAATGGAGAAGTGGTTTAATAGCCGACTTTTCGCGCATAATCCGAAACTGACTTTGCAGGGCTGCGATCTCGTGCTTTGTCATCTGGATATAGCACCTCGGAACATCTTATGGCAGGAGGACGGGTCTCTTTGCCTTATTGATTGGGCATCTGCCGGCTATTATCCAAGATTATTCGAGTTCTGCATGCAGTGGATTGTCAATGGAAAAGATGGGAACTTTAATTCCCTTCTGTTGAGATCGATGAATCCTCTGTCAGTTCAAGAGATGGCGCAGAAAGAGCCTATTCTGTGTGCTTGGAGAAATATCCAAAAATATCCTTTGTAAGTGCAAGGAACTCCAGCTATCCACTAATTAAAACTTATCCTGCTTCCAGCAAAAACAACAAATCAATACCAAGTCAAAGGTTATCAGGACACTCGACAGATCTCCCCCCTGTACCCGCCCATCCAATGCCACAATACCCAACGGGTTGGTACAAACAAGCTCAGGAATACTCTACCCCGACAGAACCAACTTTCCATTCAAGCTCAGTTCCAGGAGTTGAGAAACAAGACCACGTTTGCCAACGTGCTGCACGCTATTTGAGCGCGATATGTTTGCCACACACGAAGCCGTCGGAATCTGCCTAGCATCCGTGCTACTACGGACAGATACTTCAAAAATAGAAGGAAAGGGCTGGTCAATTAGTGTGGTGCACAGACCGAAGTGGACACAGTCTGGCCCTGGCCTAGGGCCATATTCAACCTGAGCAATTTATTATTTACAGCACAGACCGAAAGTCACGCTAAATCTTGAGATTTTGTAGACCTACGTGCCAGAAATAGCCTCTAGCGCTCGCTTCTTTTGCACCAACCGCCTCCTATTCTGGGCATACTATGGTAGGATCTGATATCGTTGGTTGAAGTGAAACAGAAAACGGGTGCCTTGCCAAGTGGTGACACCCTGTCTGTCTAAACTGGCCGTTTATCACATCCCGAAGGTGTGGTTCATCAAATTATACTAACTTATCCGACTCAAAGTCTAATATGTTGTCCAAATTGTATGTCGGGGAATCTGATTTTGAATATCACAGTATATTCTGTTAAAGTTATCTGCTTAAAGATAAATTCTGGGAAGCGCATCGTTAATGGTCTGATGTTCAACACTATCAAACTATTGGAATCTAGGATCAAGCAAACAGCTGAAAATGCAAGCCCTGGAAGAAAGGATTCATTATCCGGCCCTATTATCACCATTCAGTTCAGCTGTAGCATTTCAGATACATAGTGCGCTTAGCAAAATAAACTCTATGGCCACCTTTCAGAGTAGTTCCACAGTCATACCTAGTTGGTGAATATAGTGCGTGGGATAAAATTCAAATGTATCGTCTCCGTTTTTCTCTTAGTGGTATGATGGGCAAATAGGGGTGCGATAACGTTGAGGAAACCAAATTATCCATTATTCTCAATATATTAAAACACCCGGATGACATAATAAATAGCTACACTATGTTGTGGATTCGGACTGCCTTCTCAGCCCAGTCCTGAATGTCGTCCACAAAAAGTCGAGCAACACCTAACTGGACCCCCTTCTTGATGAAAAAGGCCGGGTCTTGGTCTTTGTAGATCTGCTCAAGGTCAAGTCCATTCTCGAGCATCACATTGCAGATTTGTCGGTATCCAGCCTTGAGGGTCTCATTGGTCTCATTGGGCATATGCCACTCGACATATTTCTTCACTGCTTCATCTCTAAGTCCAAGAATCTCAAGCGGGATATCCATTGGGTCCATTGATACCTTGGGGAGTGAACCATCTATCCCAGATGTGGAAGCTTGCGATGGCAGGACATTAATATTGATTGGAGGGTAGGGCATGATGTTTCCAACACCTTGGCGACTTTTTTTCTCGAGCTTTTGCTGCTCCTCTATATATATATGTTCACGCACAGCTTCTGGGACATCTGCGTGGCCATCTAAAATGCCGCCCTTTTCGATATGGGTAACAAGGCGCCTTAAATGATGGGGTTTCAATTGATAGTGCCTTTTCCCCATTGGATCCACCCAGCAGTAGGGCCCTGTGTTGCATGCCGGTGAGGCACACCGCGTCAGATTATAAACACTGCGCCAGATTTGTTTATGACCTAACGAATTCCCCTGTCTTCAAGCATTCTTGTTGTGACGGAGGATCGCCATCTTTTCTCCGCTGTCCGACCAACGGTTGAGCGTGAATCCTCAACATGGTTGAAATAGATATTCAGCCTGAGTCTCTTGCCTTGGGTGAACAGGCCTGACCTAATCAGTAGCTGCCTCTCAATCCCCTCCCAGACAATGTCGGTATTATCGAAACGCTTAGTCAGGTCGCGTTGGGAGGGATCATTTATTGATAGTTACCACAACAGCTGTGTAATTAGCTCTTACCCGACGATTGCGGGAGACCTTTCTATCAGGGACATTTTCTACTTGCTGTTCCAACGTCAGCTGCCAGAATGCGCTAGGGGCGAGACCTAGATCCTCCTCAGTGTCCTTTGCTACTACCCGGGTGGTTGATAGTAACCCGCCACTCAATCAGGTAGTGGATATATACTGGCGGGTTCTCGTCATAGACCCTGCCTTCTTCCCATTCAGGCGCCTGGTGTAATCGGAGGCTGGTTGGTTGTGATTGAGACCCATTCTCATGCGGGGGAAGGGCTATAGGTGGACCGAGCGGTTTCGGAGCTGCGAAAGTAACTGGGGTGGGAGCGTACTGCGAATCGTATTCCCATGGTTCGCACTCATGGCGCCGGGGGGGGGGGGGGGGGGGGTGTAGTCAACATGATGTACATTTTGTCTGATATCTACACAATCTAGTAGCCGCTGATAAGCTCTCCCATGTCAGCTTCTTCGTATTCCCATCACTTGCTAGACGTTGGCAACGAATGAAAGATCGAAAAAATAAGGGAACCATGGTGAAGGAAGACAGCTTTGCCTACCGCGGTTAGTTTACAGTACGACGCCACCACATTGAACGTCAGGCGGATGTATAGCTAAGAGGAGAGATCCTACAGGCACGGGTGGAAGCTGGGACCCGTCTGTTTGGACTGTTCATTCTAAGTGATTCCACAGAATTCCAGAGTTACAAGTTACAATACTATTACAATGGCATATGCTGCATAAATCAGAATGGTTATTCTAGACTAGGACCTTATTTAGACGTCACATGATCCAGCACTAAGGTTTCTGAATGAATTCGTGAGAGTGTGGAGGTATATCTGCTTTCGAATATTACTGTACAAAGATCCCATTTTTAGGAGATGTCTGCTGGATCAGCAGGTTTTACGGTGTTGTACTTGGCGGACATGCGCGCTTAATGGGCTTCTGACTATGCTGCTAGCTTAGTAGCTTCAATCGCACTTTTGGAAAAGTCGATCTAATAGGCGAATATAGCTCTCATTGTGCTGTGGACTGTTCTGTATTTTCTTTCTCAACTTCATCAACACTTTGACGAATCCTATGGCTTGAATGCGGCAGCGAATGCGTTAGGCTCGAAGGTTATGGAGGGTCGTTCCATCGAATATTGAAGCGGCAATACCAAGCGAATATTCTCTCGAAGTCACTGCAAACCCCTCTCAAGGTAAAAAGGTTGAAACTCCCATTCCACAAAGTCACTGCTGATTGCACGTTGCTTTAAGGTATCACGTCGCATTTGTGGGGTTTTCCGCAGAAAGCCTGCTTTATCATGCGCCGAACCACTCCATCGCGAGACTCCAGGGCTCGCTGTTTTTGCTTTGATAATATGTTGTGTAGGCTTAAAAAGGGGCGCTATCAAGAGGCTGGCAGAAGTGGGTTTTATGTGGACTGTGGGTGGGCTAAAACAAACTGGAAGAATTAAATGAAGTTGACAGAATTCGATGAAGTCATATTGGATTTGAACCATACCCATCCATCAACCGTGACCGTTTCTTGCCCTTTCGACAGCATTGATGATAAAACGATGGAAACTCATCCCAATCAAAGGTGATTTCACCGGTTGTATGACTCAGATCTGTGGCAATCCAATAGTGACCGGGAAGAGGACTTGTACAATCGTTCAAGGTGATATTCGCTTCTGAAGATGAAGTAAAGACGAAGAATAAAGCCTAAAGTGACTGTCATCGCTCGTTGATTTACTCCTCGAAGTACGCGATGGATGACACCAAATAATTTCGTGGTTTCATCATTTGTTAAGAATAATAATACTACTACCTGTGGACTGGATACAACGTCACATATCTATATTTATTATACTAGCCGCTGATCCTCGCTTCGCTGGGTTAAATCTCGCCTTGACTATCTTGGCAAAGCCGTTCTCTTCTACCGGAGACCCATATTGGTGGGCGTGTTGGACGCTCCTGCGACGATGTGCTACATCCTACCCACCTGCTTGGTGTGAGGGATTCCAGTACGTTTCGCAGCCGACCCTCAGTGAAAGCGACGCATTCGATAATTTGGTGCGTCGTCGATTGCTATATTTTCCTTGTAAATGTCAGATACCCGAGGCGATCGTATACTGGATCGCCGGTTTTCTATAAGATCGATTGACTGCCCCTATACTACAAGAAGGTCCGATGGAAAGGAACCCGACGGCCACGGGTATCCCGCAAGGGTTCCTCTTCTCCATAATTATCTTCTTGGCATACCAGGGGTGAAGGGTAGTATCCACCGTATAGAAAGGCCGCTGCACGATTTTCGTGTAGAAGAGAGGTTCACGGAGCATTTGTGTGGGATGCAGTATTCGTACGCGATATCAGAGAGTATTTGGTTTTTGAACGTCCCGGAGCCCGTAGTTTCTCTCTCTCTCTCTCTCTCTCTCTTTCGTCCTTGCACCCTTTCACCTACCCTAGCCTTTGGTCCAACGAGAATGGTTGCTGCTCGACTCCCCTATTCTGCATCGGTTGAGCTACACATTGATACCGCGACAGAGAGACCGGAGAGAGGGTTTTTCTTCGTACTTTGTGCACATATGACCTTTCACGCGAATGTGAGCAGAGACCTGGTTCTGATATGGCGAGAAAGATGTGTGTATTCAATCTGCTAACTAATCTAAGTCGACGACAGGGTACCCCTACACCGGGAGATATACCAGTAGCCATGGCCACTGAGAAGGTAGGCTCTGGCGTGGGAACAATCCGTGGAAGCAAAACTAATCAAAGGGCAGACTAACAACACCGGCCAGATGGATCGAAGCCACCGTGACGCCCCGATCAACAGGCTCCCAGCCGAGTTGATAGAGATCATTATGCTAGACGTGCACGCGTTCCGTACCCTGTTGACTCTAGATGGCTATGAGCGCGTCAGGGTCAAATGTATGGCACTTCTTGGTTCGCCAAAGTGTCAGAGAAGAATCGCAGCATCATGGGAGCTCACAGAGGGCTGGAAGGCCACGGCTCAAGCCCCCGAGAATTGGTGGACTCGAGACTGGGAGAGATTGAGCGAAGCGGCAAAATTATATGTTGACCCGGCCACCGCGTCGATCGCCCATGGGTGTGTCGAATGCGTCGAGTTTCTACTGGAGACTCGAGCGGTGCGTCCGACTATGTTTAACAAAGACGGCGAAAGCTTCCTTGGTCGGGCAGTAGTGGCAGATACAAAGGAGGTCCAGGACCTACTACTAGCCGCCCTGGACGCCGGGCAGTTGATATGGCCACTCCTAGCGCGACGACCCCGGGACTCAGGCTGGACGTACCTGACTGCAGTGGCCAGAGACCCAGCACGATTTCGAAACGTGTGGTGCAAGCTGGAATCGAACCCGGAGCTCGACCTGACCGCCCAGCTGGACCCCGGTGGCCTGTACCATGTCTGCAAGCACGCCACGGTGGATCTCGCAGTCCGCCTCTGCCAGCGCGGTTTGAACCTAGGGAATGCGACCCGCAACGGACGGGGGTGTTGGCATGTGGTTGCCGAGTCCAATCTGAATTCGGTTGAGATGTCTCAGTGGCTTCTGCGTCACGCCACGGACCCACCGCACACGGCTACGGGGAACGGAGAGACGGCGTTGATGACAGCAATCCGGGGCGGTCGATCCGAAGTTGGGGGGTGGCTCGCGCGCCACAGCAACACAAAAGTCAAGAACGCTGTCGGACATACAGCTGCCGAGTTAGCGGCGGAACACAAAAGCGATTCGAGTGTCATAATTCTTGAGGAGATCCTGCGCCATACCCCGCTCACTGATCCGAGCGACTTGGAGCTGGGGAAGAGGATCATCAGGAATATCGTCACCGGTATATGGGCTGAGAAAGATGGGCTCTCTGGTGTGACACAATGCTGGCCCAGAAAGACTGCCGCGGAGCCCATCCGGAGGCAAATACAGGTGGATGAGGATGGGGTCTTGGAGGCTCGGGCTATGGCTAAATTGGCGATAGTAGTGGATGGCGCGACTGTAACGAGCTGAGAAACCTTGCGGTTGCGGCTAACGTGAACGGGTTTCCGCTAGTATGGGAGACACTCACCCGGGCGGCTCAAGGTGAAGAATGAAGGTATTAAGGACTGATGATGGAGGTAAACAAGGAATGATCGCTGGATAGACTGCAAGGATGTGATCACGTGAGTGGTCACATACAAATGCATGGTCTAATGTCAGATACACTATTCCGACACTACAGTATGCATGTATATCCCCCCTCAACTCTCGGATTTGGCTTTGTAAATGTCTCGATAGGTCTGTGAGGTACACTACTTTCAAATCATGAATAGGTGATGGATGATCGGTTTTACAGGCACGATCTTTTACTTGATGTAGTAGTAATTTAGCGATGTCGGACTACTGGTTTCTTGAGGCCGAGTGTCGGGCTCTTGTCCTGCATACATTCATTATGTACAGTAGACTTAGTTTCTTCTCTTATATCCCAATGATATGTTCTCTGGTTCTTGATGTATCTTTACTGCCTTATGTCATACTGACAAACTCTCATATCAATGTGTCCATTTTCTGGGACTGCGTTCAAGAACCTCCTTTGGATTAGGTATTATATACTATTCGAAGAAGGTGTATTCTCTAGGGACACCGATAACCCTCCGATTTGTTTTCAAATCAACTT